AATTGGCACCGATGGTTCCATGAAGAACCTTTAACATCCATGGAAGGTTCTTAAAAGGTTCTTTAGAACCATAAAAAATGGTTCTATTAGGAAATGTTTCACTGAAAGGTTCTTTGGGGAACCAAAACTGGATCTTCTGTGGCATTGCAGTGAAAACCTCTTTTGGGACCTTTATTTTTATGAGTGTGTGCGCAAAAAACTCAGACATTTTTCAAAACATCTTCTTTTGTGTTCCAGAGAAGAAAGGAGGTCATGCAGGTGTGAAGGACATGAGGGTGAGTAGAAATGATGACAGAATTAATATTTTGTGGGTGAACACTCTTTATAAGCCTCGTAACGCAACTGGGTCTGTTTTGACCTGAAAGAGATGCATGCAAATTTAAAAAACATTTAAAATCATAGTTTTTAGTAAGGGAACAACACTTTGCAAATGCTTAAGGCCCTGCAGATACAAAAAAATAATAATTTCCCACAGATTTTATTATTTTTTTTTTTAACAATGATTTTTTAAAGAGATATTACTATTTAAATGTTACATGTTTCGTGTCCGGGTCATTTTTGGACCCAAGTACCGTTAGGTGTCAAAAATATGTTTTGTTAAATTATCTATAAAGTTGCATTAGTGCAATAAAAAAAAACATATTTAATATATACAGTATTTACTGAATTTGGCACTTTTTTTTTTTTTACTGAAAAGCACTTTTTTCATTTGAAAGTTAAAGTTTATTCACGTAAAATTCATTTAATGTGTTTGAATTTTTTTCAGAGTAATATTTATGTTGTTTTGATGTTGTTTTGCTAGAAATAAATATGTAGGTTGCATAAATTTGGACTGTTTTTGAACAATTATTAATTTTCAATTAACAATTCAAAGGAATTCCATTCATTCCATTACTATAGTAATTCTAAGATTATATGTTCTTATAAATTCCATACAATATTTATAAATGAACAACTAAAAAGACATTCTACACCATTTTTTTTTCAGCGTATGACTAAAAATACCAAACAAAGCTCTAAAGTAGTCGATATGAAGAATAACAGCTTAATGAGAATGAGATTTGAGAGCTTTGTTGTATGGATAAAGCTGTGTGAAGAATTTCTCATTTTGTATATATATATATATATATATATATATATATATATATATATTCCCGTGTATTTTCAGTATATGACTCTTGAGCAAATGCATATTAATCTGTGTTGCATGCATCTCATGTAATATGATCATATATGCACACAACCACTTACTGGAAACATGTAATAACATGCTGTCCAGATAAATTGAAGTTTTTTGCATGCAATATAATTTAGTAATTTCAAAGGACTGGTTGTGTTCATTAGATGTCCCCTGCTGGTTGATGCTGTAACTACACCGCTGTGCTGCATGGCATTCATGGCTCAGGTGATTGACTCGGTGAGAAAAGATGGCCGTGGTCAGGTCGAGCACATCCAGGGCTGCATGCGGCAGATTAGCTAGAAATGACTCTTTGTGTATGTGTAATGTAAATGGATAGTAAAACTCATTCTCCCTTAAAGGAGTAGCTCAGCCAAAAATGAACATTAGCTGAAAATGTGCTCACCCTCAGGTCATCCGAGTTTAGGATGAGTTTGTTTCTTTGTCAGGTTTGTAGAAATGTAGCATTGCATCAGTGTCTCACTGCAAGTGAATGGGTGCCATCAGAATGAGAGTCCAAACAGCTGATAAAAACATCACAATAATCCACAGCACTCCAGTCCATCAGTTAACATCTGGAGAAGACAAAAGCTGAAACACATCCAGCATTAAGACGTTTATAACTAAAATACCATAGAGTTCATAATCCATAATAACTCTTCTATGCAATGCCACATTTCTCCAAATCTGACGAAGAAACAAACTCATCGTGATCTTGAATGGCCTGAGGGAAATTCCTTTAATCACAAAAGACTGGAAAAACTCATGGAAATCCCAAATTCATTTCTGCATCTCGTCTGGAACACATTTGTCTTTATGCATTTATCCGAAGTGACTTACATTGCATTCAAACTATACGTTTGATCAGTTCATGCATTCGCCGGGAATCATCAAACCCATGGCCGTGGTGATGATCTACAGGAAAGCATGAAACACACAAACAACCTGATCAAACATTTTCTAGTTAAAGCCGAGCAGGTTTAACCGTGACTGTAAATAAGCAGCATTATTAGTTTTGAATCAGCCGTTTGAGAAAGAACGATGTGAAAACAGCGACACGTCCAAACCTGCCAAGAACAGCGTGGTTGTGACTGTCGAGGTTTTGTGTGGAAACTAATTAAAAGTTTTGTGTTTGTTGGACCTGAATCCTACTGATGAGAATATTAAATTCCTGAAAATTACATTTCCACACAGCGTGATGCTTTGACCACAGCCAACAGAGACACGATATGTAGCACCTTTATTGAATTCTGCCTCGATTTGACTCATTTAAGCTCATTAGTTGTTTATGTAATGCAGAACTCAAACTTAATGCAATTTATAACAAATTAAAAGTTAATCTTCGTATTCAGCTTACACTGCAAAAAATATTACATTAACAATTTAATCATGTTTTTTTGTCTTGTTGTCCTGTACAAATATCTAAACGTCCTTAAAGCAAGAATTTGATATTTTTGGCTTGTTGTCAGAAAATCTAGTGTATTTTGTCTTGCCATTTTATTTTTATTTGGTTTTATTTTCCTTGTTTTCCTTGTTTATGCTTAATAAGATTCACTGAAAAGCAGCAATACAAATGCACAACTCAAAGTTAATGTAATGTATAGCAAATTAATAGTTACTCTTCTGAATATTTGCTTCGGCTTGTTTACACTGCAAAAAGTCACATTCTTAACAATTTATTCTTATTGTCGTCTTTTTCATGACAAATATCTAAACATCCTTAGAGAAGCAAATGTGATATGTTTTTGGCTTGTTGTCTGAGAATCTATCTGAAATATGTGTATTTGTTCTTTGCATTTAATTTTCATTTAGTTTTATTTCTTTATTTTCTCATTTATGCTTAATATGTTTATATTCAAGATAGATTCACTGAAAAAGCACCAATACAAATCCACAACTTAAACCTTATGTACTTTATAACAAATCAATAGTTACTCTTCTTTGCTCCAGCTTGTTTTCACTGAAAAAAAGTCACAACTTCTGTCCGATACAAATATCGAAATATTCTTAAAACAAGACGCACTATTTATTATTTATTTCTTATTGTTGTCTTTTTGTTGAGTACCAACTTAAACATCATTAAAGCAAGAAGTGAATTTGATATTAAGGCTTGTTTTCAGAGAATCTGTCTGAAATATATGCATATTTTGAATTTGCATTTTATTTTGTTTTAATTTGTTTGTTTTCTCTCGTTCATGCATGCTATCTTTATATTCAAGATAAATTCACTGAAAAAGCAACCATAGAAATGCACAGCTAACACTTCATGAAAGTCATGGAAATCTCGTCTGGAACACATTCACATTTATGCATTTATCCAAAGTGACTTGCATTGCATTCAAACTATTCATTTGATCAGTTCATGCATTCGCCGGGAATCAAACCCATGATCTCACTTGTTTTCTTGCTTATGTTTAATATCGTTATATTCAAGATCGGCTTTCTGGAAAAGCAACAATACAAATGCACAACTTACACCCTTAAAGCAAGAAGCAAATTTGATATTTTTGGCTTGTTGTCAGAGAATCTCTCTGGAATATAAGTGTATTCTGTCTTTGCATTTTATTTTAATTTTAGTATTATTTCACGTGTTTATGATTAATATCTTTAGTGTCTCTGTATAAGCGGCAATACAAATGCACAACTCACACTTTATGTAATTTATAACACATTAATAGTTACTCTTGTTTTGCTTCAGCTTGTTTACACTGCAAAAAGACACAATTTATTCTTACTTCTGTCTTCTTGTCCTGTACAAATATAAAAAGAATATGGCAAAATATCTACCAGAGATGCAAATTTGATATTAAGCTTTGTTGCCAGAGAATCCATCTGGAATATATGTGTATTTTGTCTTTGCATTTTATTTTTTAGGATTTATTTTGTTTGTTTATGGTCAATTCATGGTTGATTCTCTGACAACAAGCCTTAATATTGCATGCTGTTTTGTTTGTACAGCTCAATGTTTCATGCTTTGTAAGGATGTTTAGACAGAAAACAAGACGAGGATCCTCATGAATAATATATTGTGTGTTGCTCGACATTACGTAAGTGGACACCCACAGATGAGATGTGCTAAGCGCTGCAGATGTCTGGAGGACAGCTTTGTTAATGGCTCTGAGCGTTTAGATGGCTGCTGAATGAATGTGCCAGATTTATACGACCGCGTTATTAGAGAGCCTGGACTTTTCTCCCTGCCAGCAGAGCCACTGAACATTTCATTCATTTTAATGGATGGGAAATACAAAGCTGAGTGTGTTATTTCACAGCCGCTCCATCGGCATTAGAATCGCAGTATTATGGTTTGGCGTTACTGTTAGACATTGCAATGTTTTAGGTGTGACGAATGCATTGAAATGCAGGGCTGAATCCGTTAAATGATGCTTTTGAGTCTCTCGTGAATGTTGGCTGATGCACAGATAAGTTGTTGGGTCTTTTTGAGATATTAAAGCTATCGTATTTGTGTTTTCATTCCTGCAGGATGCTAGAAGAGATATTTTGTATTAATCAGTGTGTCTGTCCAGTGTAACGTATCGAACCGAAAATACATTTTGGTCATCCAGAGGTGAGATGACGGTTATCAAGCTTTTTGAAGAAATTCTCAGAATTAATAAACTTAATCTTGCGTGCAAAGGCTGGCAAAACAGTTATACACCGAGTCTGTATGATTTTTTCATGTTTTTGAAAGAAGTCTCTTCTGTTTTTCTGTGTTTTTTTATTATAAAAGTGTCATGATCTTCAGAAATCATTCTAAGATGCTGATTAAATGAAACATTTCTGATTATTATCAATGTTGATTTTTCAGGAGTCACAGATGAACAGCATTATATTTTGTAACATTATAAAAGATCATAAATGTAATGCATCCTTGCTGAATAAAAGTATCACTTTATTTAAAAAAAAAAAAATGTTAGTGTATGTCTATATATTTATTTGCTCTGAACTTGAAAAGATTATGTTTTTCAATCAGAGGAACCATCCTTTTAACAACTGAAGTTTAATAGTGAGAAACTATTTAAAATGAGCACAGCTCATGAGACAAGGAGAGATAAAGCGAAATAAAAGCATTAACATTATTGCAATGTTTACTTACTGATTGTATCTGGTCTAAGATCAGTATCAGTATCATATCGCCATGATTTTAATGTTTTCATTTAATGTTTGGAGCTCTGATCTGATGACAATATTTTAAGTTCAGCTGTTGTAAAGCTTCAATGCTTTGGAGCACAAAGACAGTCGCTACAGTTATTATGAGACAATTATTGTACAATTATCAAGTGGGAAAAGTTATAGAAGTTCAAGTTTCAAAAAAATGTAAAATGTACTGTAATTTTTTTTTACTTTTATATAAAAGATGTTTTATGAATTGTGGTAAAAATAAAACTGCTACAAAATGAAAGACATAAATCTAAGTGTTCCACGTTTGAGGTTATTATCTATGAAAGCTTGCTTTCCGCCACGAGATAAAGATACAAAAATGTAATTGTGACTTTTTATCTCACAATTCTGAGTTTATATCTCATAATTCTGACTCACTTGAATTGCGTGATATAAACTTGAACTCACAATTATTCGTGATTATTCCACACCGGAAAAAAACAAAACCTAAATCAAAAATGTAAAACAAGGTGTAAACTCGGTTTTCATAGTTAAAAATATAAACTCAGTATTGCGATGAAAAAAAGTAACAACTGCAAGATGTAGATTTAGAATTCTGAGGAAATATCAAAAATGCAAAAAGTTAACTTAAGTGTTGGTCGAAATTTTGATGAAAAGGCTTCATAATTGCAAGAAAAAAGTAAGAATTGTGAGATAAAAGTCGCAGTTACCTTTTTTATTTTCTTAAGATGTTAAACAAAATATAAACTCAGAAAAGTTAGAATTCTGAGATGTAAACCCAGAATTCCGAGACAGAAGTCAAAATTGCAAGAAGTTATCTTGTAATATCGAGGAAAAAAAATCTTCGTTTCTTATCTCGCGTTTCTGACAATGTATTTTATTTCTCGCAATTCTGAGAAAAAATGTCAGAACTGTGAGGGAAAACAGCTGCAGTTACCTTGTTTTATTTCTTTATCCCATGACAGAAACACACTTCCAATACATATCAACCTCAAATCTAGAACACTTGTTTAGATATATGTCTACTATACATGTAGTGAATCTTGAGTATGTTTCTGGTGTAAATCATAATTTGATTGTTCTGCTCTCTGTCTCACAGGCGGATCAATCTGACTGGAATTAAATCAGGATATAGTTGTGTTTCTGAAACATGGCAGGCACCGTCTCCATCAACACGAGGGCCGACGCTCCGACAGAGAAGCCAGCCCAACATCAGGATCAACAGAAGGAGCTCGCCTGAGGATCCGTGCGTGTTTGGATTAACACATTTGTGAGGATTACACCTTTGCTTCCTGCTGCTTTCACCATGTTTCGTCTCAGAATGATCCTTCGGGTCGTCTCTGTGGTTTGGGGAGTTACACTCGTCGTTTGTCAGCAAGCACAGTTCACCACCGTCACCACAAACTACGGGAAGCTGCGTGGATTGCATGTGGCGCTGCCCAGTGAGATCCTGGGCCCCGTGGAGCAGTATCTGGGGGTCCCGTATGCGATGCCCCCTACTGGACAGCGGCGGTTTCAGGCCCCGGAGCCACCGGCGTCGTGGCCCGGCATCAGGAACGCCACGCAGTTCGCTCCGGTGTGTCCGCAGTATCTGGAGGACCGGCTGCTGCTCACAGACATGCTACCGGTGTGGTTTACCGCAAACCTGGACACGGTCGCGTCGTACGTACACGAGCAGAGCGAAGACTGTCTGTACCTCAACATCTACGTGCCCACGGAGGAAGGTACGGCTTACGAAAACACACACACACACACACTACTGGTAAAACGTTTGAGTCTCTTCTGCTTGCTAAGGCTGCATTTATTTGATCAAAAATACAGTAAAAATTGTGAAATAGTATTATAATTTAAAATAACAGTTTTCTATGTGAATATTTGTTAAAGTGTAATTTATTTCTGTGATGCGCAGCTGAATTTTCAGCATCATTACTCCAGTCTTCAGTGTCTCAAGAAATCATTCTAATATGCTGATTTGCTGCTCAAGAAACATGATTATTATTATCAGTGTTGAAAACAGCTGCACAATATTTCTGTGGAAAGCATGATATGTTTTATTTTTCAGGATTCACAGACGAATAGAAAGATCAAAAGAGCAGCATTTATTTGAAATAGAAATCTTTTGGAACATTATAAATGCCTTTACTGTCACTTTTGATCAATTTAATGCATCCTTGATGAATAACAGTACAATTTTTCTTTAAAAAGTTTTTTTTTATTTTATTGACAACAGATTCATTTCAGTTAAGTACATTTTAATTTGGGGTAACTTTTTTGCTTTGTGGTGAGTTGTATTTCATTTGTCCTGATATTTTGAGATAAAGGCGTGGAAGAGGTAGCAGTACGAATTTAAACACATTGAACCCGTCATATAGAAGAACCCGGGTGTCACCCATAAAATTCCCAGTGACAGGAAAGGGGCGTTACAATGTCAGAAAAAAATTAACATATCTGAGTTGGAAAAGGATCAGCTCCTCGTGTCAGTGTTTCGTTGAACCACCTTTAGCTTTAAATACAGCCTTTAGTCTGCTGGGATTTGTCTCGACTAACTTTGCACATCTAGACTTTACAATATTTGCCCACTCTTCTTTGCAGAACTGCTCAAGTTCAGTTTAATGTGATGGTGAGTGTTTGTGGACTGCAGTCTTCAAGTCATTGCACAGATGTTCAGTGGGGTTTCAGTCTGGGCTCTGACGAGGCCATGCAAGGACATTGCGCTTTGTGCTCAGTTCTGCTGTGTGCTTTGGGTCATGTTGGAAGGTAAACCTTCTTCCCATTGACAACAGATTTTCCTCAAGAATTTGATGGTATTTTGCCCCATGCATTTCTCCTTCTCTCCTGACGAGTGCTCCAGTCGCTGCTGCAGAGAAACAGCAGGACATCACCAGCCCCATGCTTTACTGCAGGAATGCTGTTATCTGGATGCTGAGCTCGATTGGATTTCTGCCGGACATATCGTTTGCTGTCGAGGCCAAATAATTAATATTTTTAGTCTTATCTGCCTCAGAATCTTCCAGGTGTGTTTTGGCAAAGCATGTGGCCTTTCTTGAGGAGCGGCTTTTCTTCCATATAAGCCACATTTGTGGAAAGTCTGTGATATTGTTGTCACATGCACACAATGGCCTCTCTTTGTCATAAACTCCTGCAACTGCTTCAGAGTTGCTGTAGCTCTCGGTCGCCTTTCATCAGTTTGGAGGGAGGCTCTGTGTTTTACCAAATACCTTCCACTTCTTAATAATAGAGTGTGTGTGAGTGTGTGTGTGTCTGTGTCTGTGTGTGTGTGTGTGTGTGTGTGTGTCTGTGTGTGTGTGTCTGTGTCTGTGTGTGTGTACATGTACATGTTTAATTATATTTTTCATGATTTTCTTTCTTTAAAAAGTATTAAATTATGAAATTGTGAATATATATATATTTCACAATTTCATAAAAATTATACATAATTTTACATACTAATCAAAAAAGATTTGTATATAATGTATAATCACACACACACACACACACACACATATACATATATGCATATAAACTGCTTTAAATTTGAGTTTGACATTAATATGCTGCAAAAGCTGCAAAGCTGCTATAATTATGCTAAAATATGTGTTAGAAATTATGGATATAATAACATAGCATGCACAAATATTGGATAAAATAGTAAGACCTTTATTTTTATTTATACATATTTCTTGGTATTGAATGGTTTATATTTATATTCAACAGTTTTCATGCTTTATCCTTGCATAGATTTTTTTGCAATATGGCTTTGACTTCTTGAGAAAGGATGCATGAAATGCTGCTGTAATATGTGGAACAGAAGCGTGTCTATGATGCCTTAACATGCTTTCTACTTAGGAGCTCACTAGCTGCTGGAACGGAGCCGTTTTAACATCATATCCATGTATTCATGGGATTGCCATGATCTTATTTGCACGTGTCACTTCTTGTTTCTCACATAGACAGAAACTGAATATGCTGTTTGTTCTCTAAAGAGATGGATTTATGATTTAGCAGCTGATGTCCAAACTGTGATGTTCTAGTAGATTCATCATCACCTCGAGGAGCAGAACGTAATGAAACAGATGATGAACGGAGATGACAAGCAAAACATTAGATGTAAAGTGTTGGTCGTAAGTTTCGTTCACTGTTCTCAGTGAGTCCATCTCAGGTTTTAGGTCTTTCCAGGGTTATTATGGTTAACTAACATTAAAATAAAATTTAAAAAGTTACTTGACGCAAAATAAAAGCTAACTGAAATTAAAAAAAAAAGTTTACCTATTATTAAAAATATTTTTATTTATTTCTTTATTTGTTTTGTTTTATTTTATATTTATTAAATTAAATTTTATTTAATTTAATTTTATTTAATTTAATTTTATTTATAAATTTTACAGTAGTTGTCAAATCTAAATTTCTAATTGGTTTAACTTCAAATAATAAAATAACTAAAACTTATAAATAAAAAAAATATTGGCATTTAAAAAAAGGTATAAAAATGACAGATATGCAAAAAAGAATCACTAAAACTTTATATTTGAAGTGAAAACAAAACACATAAAAATAAAACCTAATCAAAAATATTAACAAAAAACAGAATAGTATCTCATGATATTAAAATAACACTGGCTTCGTAAGACAATTAACAAATCCACACGCTAGTTGCTGACTTTTGAAGGAAAGTAAATGATAAAAATGCATTTATTTATGTAGTTAGTTACTTTTTGCAATATTTGTATTGATGTTTGTGTAATCGTGGTTAACTAATGGATTTTTATATCTATAAAGCATCTGTAATGCACTGTATTATACTTAATACAATTGAGTGATTTGTTTTCATAATGCATGCTCCAAATTCACTAAACATTAAAAAAAATATATTGTTTATCATTTCTGACAAAGCTAACAATTTAATGTCTATCTATCTGTCTGTCTATCTATCTGTCTGTCTATCTATCTGACTATTTCTATCTGTCTGTCTATCTATCTATCTCTGACAGACTGTATTGCCTTCAAAACATTCAAATTTTAAGTTTTTAAAACTACTTTAAACTTCAAACTATTTCAGACTGAAAACCATCAAACTAAAACGTTTTAAACTTCTTAAACTTTTTAATCTTTTCAAACTTTCTGGTCCGGCTTTCTCAAGCCAACTTAAAGTTTGTCTTGACAGACTTTTTTTTTTCTAGAAATGATGAGACATTCACGCCAGCAGTTATATAAATATTTCCTCTAATGCTGTGTTTATGTGAAGATAATCTTTGCTTAAGTTGATTTTAAATAACACAAGAATGGTTACACGGTAACACTGTAACTTATAACCAGTGTTGTGGGTGACGCATTACAAGTAACGCGAGTTACGTAATCAGATTACTTTTTTCAAGTAACTAGTAAAGTAACGCATTACTTTTTCAAATAAGTAACGCAAGATACTTTTTTTTCCAATTTATTGACTGACGGCTCTCCTGTCCTCATGCTGAGAGAAATCAGATGTTACAGTAGTTCTAAAACAAATATGAATATGCATTAATTCATCTCACTTAAATTACGTAAAATAAAATGTACTTTCCCTTCAGCCTGAGGCTTATTCATTTCACTTTTGGTGTGAAAGGCTTTTATATTTGCCAAAAATAGAACTTTTGTATTTTAAAAACAAACAAGCAAGCCCTGTCCAGATTTAAAAAATAACGCAAAAGTAACGTAACACATTACTTTCTTAAAAAGTAACTAAGTCTTTTTTATGGAGTAACACAATATTGTAATGCATTACTTTTAAAAGTAACTTTCCCCAGCACTGCTTATAACATTAAACATCCTCTTTCTCATTAAACACGCTTTCATATTTCATACTTAATGGAAGCAATCAGCAGTTTTTTCATAACTGGCCGGGTTTTATCCTGCTCTCAATGGTGAACGCAGAAATAACAGCTTTCTACAGCATTCCAGTGTTTTCTGGTCTTCTGCCTAATGGAGACCATAATGACTTAATGGACGTGATATAAAACACTAGCAGCTAAAAGCTCATGAGGAAACACCCATTCGACTCTATTCAGTACAAAAACTGGAATACATTTCCTCTAAATGCACACAGACTGAGATTAATTAATGGAGGAGTTCATCCGTCAATATTTACTGCCGTTCCAAACCGTTTTCCATTTCTGCCTGATCTGTTCTCTTGTGTTTGTTGGTTATATAACGTGATCTTTCTTTCTGTTTCAGATGCGCATGACGACACGGGCTTGAAGCCGGTCATGGTTTATATTCACGGCGGCTCGTACGTCGAGGGGACGGGGAACATGATCGACGGCAGCATCCTCGCCAGCTACGGAAACGTGATCGTCGTCACCGTGAACTACCGGTTAGGAGTGCTAGGTGAGGTGCTCGAAACGTATTAATGCATGCATGAGGATCTTATTTACACTGCTGCTGAAAAACTTTAAGGATTCAACTGATCAAAAGTGACAGTAAAGACGTTTATAATGTCACAGAAGATTACTAGCAGCTAAAAGCTCATGAGGAAACACCCATTCGACTCTATTCAGTACAAAAACTGGAATACATTTCCTCTAAATGCACACAGACTGAGATTAATTAATGGAGGAGTTCATCCGTCAATATTTACTGCCGTTCCAAACCGTTTTCCATTTCTGCCTGATCTGTTCTCTTGTGTTTGTTGGTTATATAACGTGATCTTTCTTTCTGTTTCAGATGCGCATGACGACACGGGCTTGAAGCCGGTCATGGTTTATATTCACGGCGGCTCGTACGTCGAGGGAACGGGGAACATGATCGACGGCAGCATCCTCGCCAGCTACGGAAACGTGATCGTCGTCACCGTGAACTACCGGTTAGGAGTGCTAGGTGAGGCGCTCGAAACGTATTAATGCATGCATGAGGATCTTATTTACACTGCTGCTGAAAAACTTTAAGGATTTTGTTCGTCAAGGATGCATTAAAGTGATCAAAAGTGACAGTAAAGACGTTTATAATGTCACAGAAGATTTCTATTTCAAATAAACGCTGTTCTTCTGAACTTTCTGTTCATCTGTGAATCCTGATCAAATAAAATGCATCACAGTTTCCACAAAAATATGACTGTTTTCAACATTGATAATAATCAGAAATGTTTCTTTCTGCCTGATCTGTTCTCTTGTGTTTGTTGGTTATATAACGTGATCTTTCTTTCTGTTTCAGATGCGCATGACGACACGGGCTTGAAGCCGGTCATGGTTTATATTCACGGCGGCTCGTACGTCGAGGGGACGGGGAACATGATCGACGGCAGCATCCTCGCCAGCTACGGAAACGTGATCGTCGTCACCGTGAACTACCGGTTAGGAGTGCTAGGTGAGGTGCTCGAAACGTATTAATGCATGCATGAGGATCTTATTTACACTGCTGCTGAAAAACTTTAAGGATTCAACTGATCAAAAGTGACAGTAAAGACGTTTATAATGTCACAGAAGATTTCTATTTCAAATAAACGCTGTTCTTCTGAACTTTCTGTTCATCTGTGAATCCTGATCAAATAAAATGCATCACAGTTTCCACAAAAATATGACTGTTTTCAACATTGATAATAATCAGAAATGTTTCTTGAGCAGCAAATCAGCATATTAGAATCAGTGTTATTTTAGTACCACTGAGATACTGTTATAGTTTTTATTAATATTTTGAATTTAGTAATTTTTATTAGTTCTTTTTATCTAGTTATTTTAAGTAACAAAAATGTATTTTATAGTTTTTAGTTTTAGTTAATTTTTTTAATATAATTTATTTTATTTTAGTTAATGATTATTTTATTTCTAGTAACAAAAAATAGTTTTTAGTAAAAAAATTAATAAATTATATATATATATATATAAACATTTTTTAGTTAATGGTTATTTTATTTCAAGTAGTAATGTGTTTTATGTTTTATATTTGTAATATTTTATTTTAGTTAATGGTTATTTTATTTCAAGTCATTTGTTTTTATGTTTTTAGTTTTAGTTAACTATAATAACCTTGATTATTATGATTTCTGAAGATCATGTGACGCTGAAGACTGGAGGAATGATGCTGAAAATACAGCTGCGCATCACAGAAATACATTACAGTTTAACAGATACTCACATAGAAAACAGCTGTTTTAAATTATAATAATATTTGACTATTTTTACAATATTTTTTGATCAAATAAATCCACACTTGGTAAGCAGAAGAGACTGCTTTATAAAACATTTAAATACATCTTATATACATTAAATATGACCATATCTGGTAAGTATTTTTGCATTTAAGCTAAAGATAATGAAACCTGTAAAAAGCTTTTCTTTTACTCGCAGTACGCGAGAGACGACGTTAGAAAGCCTTCAGATGTTCATTAAAGGATCTTTTATTTACTTTCATTATGAAGGTTGTTGCACGTTTTATATTACACGTTCTGCCAAAAATAGATTCCTCACTAAAAAAAATAATGCTTTTATAATTCAGTTTCTTTGAAGACGGTGAGGATTTGGAAAGCTTATTAAAACACTAAGAATACTTATAAACACGAACACAAAGCAGCTTTAAACAAGTGTTTTAAGTGCAGTCCAAGTGTGCAGATTTATGATTCATTCATTTTGAATCCACACGTCCGGTTTATATTATTTATATGTTTGGCGCAGAGCGATTTATTTCTGTTTTTGAGAACATTTCTCTGCCGTTAGTGAGTTTTGAATGCGGTGACCTTGGATCGTCAGGCTCTCTTTCTCATCAAGATACTGAAGCGATTTTGTTAGAAGGTCCTGAGGTCCTTGGCACTGAATTAGAGTTGAAAACGGCTGCTTTCAACAACATCTCTCTTTTAAGAAGAAAGGAAGATCCAGACACATCCCAGAGGCCTTCAGATTCAGACTGAATGCACTTTTGGCCATTATCATCCGATCTTTTGTACCAAATGGTGTAATATTTTGAACAAAGCATCTCTATACTATTGAGCTGGATGGAAGAGACTGACATCTCTCAGGTCCATCATTAAATTCACAGCTCAAACACACACACAATTCATTTGCATGACCAAATGTTGTCTGAACATGCACCGCCAGTCAAAAATGTGGAATAATTACGATTGATAATAATCAGAAATGTTTCTCGAGCAGCAAATCAGCATATTATACTGATTTCTGAAGATCATGTGACACTGAAGACTGCAGTAATGATGCTGAAAATACAGCTGCGCATCACAGAAATAAATTACAGTTTAACAGATACTCACATAGAAAACAGCTGTTTTAAATTATAATAATATTTCATAATTTTTACTGTATTTTTGATCAAATAAATGCAGC